TCAGTCTGCGCTGCAGCGGCAGCAGATGCAAGGCCCCCCCCCAACTCCCATGTTTCTCTAAGCTCCCATCCCTCCCCCTTGTCCTGTGGCGCGTGTGACCGTACACGGCGTCTCCAGCAGCTTATTTGCTGGGAAGCATGGGAGAAGGAGGATGCACTCAAGGAGGGATGGGGGAGGTGGCCGGCGCGGGCACGGAAGATGAGCCCAGCCGGGCTGAAATCTGAATTGCAGCAGCAGCAAGGCAGCAGCAAGCACGATTGCGCGAGGACAGTGCATACAGCGCAAGCGCGGCGGGGAGGTCCTCGAAAGGTGAACGGTCTCTTCCTGGCCGCGCGTTCGGTTGTGCAACTCAATCGCAGCAACAATCGTTGAGCCCAACTTTGGTATCCTCGCGCCCTGCATGCGGAACGAGAGACGGGACGGCGATGGACCACATCGCACGATCATCCCAGCCGTACCAGGGAGGGAGGGCTTCCGCCAAAAAGGCTGGCACATCACTTCCTTGCCCTGGAGCGCACGGCCTCCTCGAGCGCACGGCCCTCGTGGGCGCAGGCTCCTCGTTTAGCTCCATGGAGCGACCTCCCTCGGGAGCGGCGGACGGCTCGCGACGCAGGGGACTCGAGCGCTTCTGTGAGCGCCTCCTGGGGCATGCCGGCTCTGCTCGCGGCGGGGGCCAGGCCCTGCCGCACCGACGGGCCAGCAGGCGGCAGCAGGAAGCAGGTGTGGCATCCGCGGTCGTGCATGCTGCTGGGCCCCTCTCCACCACTCGCCCTGCCCGGTTCCCTCCCCCTGGCCGGCACACGCTCCGTGGGCGGGGGGGCACGTGGCACCTGGCCGGCGGGAGAGGCGGCCGCGGGCGCGCGGGGCTTCGCACGTGCCCGGTGCAGCGCAGTATGCCGAGTGGCCCCCCCCCCCCCCCCGCTGGGGGTCACGTGGGCCCGTGAGTGCCGCCACGGCTGGGCGCGCTCTGGCCGACGGAAAAACTCAGGCCCGCGCCGATGTTCTCAGACGGAAGTCTATACATGGCCACCGCCTGGAGGATCGATTCTCGGGGACCTCGGCAGGCGGTGGATGTGGACACGTTCGGGTCCCCGGGGGCCAACCTATATGCATGGCCACCGCCCGCTGGGGCACCAAGACGTCGGTTCCCAGGCGGTGGATATGGATACATTCCCGCCTCGCAGGTATCCCACACGTGGCCTGGCACGGGGATCGGCCGGCTCCAGCCATGTGCGGGCAGAGGCACGGGTAGCTGGTCGTGGCGGCACACTCGGCGCCTGTCCAAGCCGTGCGTGCGGCCGCAAGAGAGGAAGGGAAGCAGGCGGCGCGTTGGCGGGGCCGCGCGAGAGGGAGGCGGCGCCGGTCGCTCCCCACATCGCCCCATCTCGTTGCCTCCCCTTGTCCCACGCCAGGACCAGGGCCCCAAGTGGGAAGAGGGGGGCGCGCACGCACACGAGAGAACGCGCGCGCCCGAGACACACACACACACAGACACACACGCAAACACACACACACACACACACACACACACACACACACACACACACACACACACACACACACACACACACACACACACACACACACACACACACACACATACACACCTACACACCTACACACCTACACACCTACACACCTACACACCTACACACCTACACACCTACACACCTACACACCTACACACCTACACACCTACACACTACACACCTACACACTACACACTACACACTACACACTACACACTACACACTACACACTACACACTACACACTACACACTACACACTACACACTACACACTACACACTACACACTACACACTAACACTAACACTAACACTAACACTAACACTAACACTAACACTAACACTGACACTACAGTCACACACACACACACACACTACAGTCACACATGATAGTAAGGATGGGCAACCACCTTCCCAAGGGTACCGTCGCATCCTCGCCTCCTCGGTCCATCCTTCCGCTGTCGCTGGCCGCGCCACGCTCGAAAAGCTTCGAAATGGGCGTCCGAGGCCCTTGCATCCTTATCGCGCATCCTTGCTATACTGGTTGACTGTAGTCAAACGACTGGATGAGCCTGTTTTCCACCACCACTACCACCAGAAGTTGGAGGGGGAAAGATGTGGAGGATGAGGAGGAGGAGGAGGAAGAAGACGGGGAGGAGGAAGAGGAGGAGGAGGAGGAGGAGGAGGAGGAGGAGGAGGAGGAGGACCCCTCCCCCTCTCTTACTTATGGTGGTGGTAATGGTCGGAGGAGCAGGAGGAGGAGGACCCCTCCCCCTAGGCCGCGAGAGCAGGAGGAGGAGGACCCCTCCCCCGCCGCTGCCTCGACCTGGGCCTCCTCCGAGGGTCTCTACGGTGCCCCCCGCGTGGGGAACGCCGCGTTCCAGGCCGCCTTCCATAACTGGACGTCAGGGGCAACGAAAGGGGGAGATGGGCACCGGGGAGGACGCATCGACCCCCAATCGCCCATTGCTCGCCGGTAGGGGCCCGATAGCCCCAGCCTGCTCGGGAAGGTGTGGATTCACGATCGCAGGCAGATCCGCCGATCTATCGGCGATGTACCGCCGATTCCAGGTTGATGTTCCCCCCCTAATGCCAGTCCCCCTATCGGTGCCCCTCAGGACTGCGCACAACCGCAGGCTCTACCGCGGCAAGGCGCAGGGCGAGCCAGCCTTGCCCGCCACGGCCGACTCGGTCCCCGACGCGCTCCGCCCGCTAGCCGCGGACGCGGAGGGCGCGGTCCGCATTGTGGAGCGGGAGGATGTCGTGCCTCGCCTCCCTCCGAGGCGCGCCATGAAGCGAACGGGTCCTGCGGGAAGCGGGCTCCTCGGGTGTTTTGCCGCGTTGGGTGTCCAAGGGCCCTCCAAGGGCCCCGGGATTGTCAGACAACGACTCAGGATCAAAGTTTGTCTCGAGGGAAGGCCCCGTGGTGCTTGTTTATCGCCTCCTTCGAAGGCGCATAGGCTATCTCGGAGAAGAAACACTTGCGTAAACATACTATTTCGGAGCTCCGCGCGGATTTCTTGGATCGGCGTTGGGCCCCCCCTGGCGGCGCCTCCAGTGTTGTCCCGGGCGCGCTCCCTGCGCTAGGGAGGGGGTCCAGCGCCGATCAGAGAAATCCGCGCGGAGCTCTGACAATTTAAGTCTACGCCGCCTTTTCTTCTTCTTTTATCGTCACGTTGGTCTGGAAGTCTGGCGCACGACGACGGAGGTATCTTGGCTATTCAGGCAGGAGATAGATCAGTATTGCATGTTGGACTACTGTCTCTGCGGCTCGATGGACGATGCCGAACAGCGGCCCTGGTGCGCTAGCAGGATCAAGAATCTCGAAGTGTGGAAGTTCGTAAACACTCAGCACACCGATTATCTGGGCATACGCATGAGCACCAAGGACTTGAAGAGAGAGCATCCAGAGTGCATGTCAAATGCCCTTCCATGTCCTGAAAAACTCCCGCCCAGTGACAAGCTTGGTTGCAGCGACCATGTGTATTGTGCGGAGGCTCGATCTTCTGCGTGGCGTCAGAAGTTTCCTTGTCAATGTCCCCCGCCCTTCGTGTTGTCAGGCACCGCGCCCGAGTGCACGGATTATCTAGGACAGGAATATTTCCCGGGCAATTTATCGAGAGGAGCGTGCTCTTGCGAGCCGTAGGTTGCCCCTGGCGCCAAAAGCGTCTCCGACGACATGCTGCACTTCCTCGCGCTTCTGATTTCCACCACCGCCAGCTGTGAGCATCTCGTTCTTCAGTGTGAGCCGCTATGTGAATGCACAATGTCCGTCAGAGGCGAGCGTTTTGTGCGTGTGGCACTGTCTCAACCACTCAATTTTTCACAAGTCTCAATGTTCCCCTATCCGATCCGAACACGACCGCCACCAAGTCGTTCTACTTGGCGTCCCCAGGTCCTGGATGCCTCGATCCCATACCTGAGGGCAAGTTTCTTGCCCCGACCGTGCTGGTGACTGCCCTGGGGCCCAGCAACGCCCCTCAGAGGCTGAACATTGAAACATGCGTCGCTGCTTGCTTTTTCAATTCATTTGAGGCATGCACCCTCCGCGGGCCTCCAGACCCAAACAGATTGCCGGATGCGTCCGATAGCCTTCCTCGACCGCACCGCCACCACCACAGCGTCACAGCTTCCGGCCAGCCTCAAGCTGGGGAGCCGTGCTCCCTGCCAGGGGGACCCACGGGCTTCGATAATCCTTCGTTATGTCGATGCCTGGATGGGTTCCCCAGGGGGAGGAGGAACACAGCGCCCCGAGTCCCAGGCATCCGACGGTGCGCTTGTTCTACCTCTCGATGCTTTGATTGACGTGCCCGAGGCCCGCAATCGGCCCCCGGAGGCCGAAACGGACGAGCACGCCCGGACTGGACAAGAACACACCCTTGCGGCAGCTGCCCCGGAACAGTCTCGACACGGTTGCGTGCTCAGAGGCTCCGAGGGGAGCACGGTGTGGTGCCGCTCGGGGCCACCGTTCTCGGGGGCCCAGCGTCCCTCGCCGGGCGTCAGGAGCAGGATGTAGAAGTCTAGGCCTCCCGGGTGAGGTCGGAGTAGACGGTATCGGCGATGCGGCTCGATGTGGGGCCCACTTTTCTCCACGCCGACGTCGCCGATTCATCACCGACGTCGCCACTGCATCGCCGATGTGTCGGCGATGCGGCGAGGTCCTCCGACCCCATCGACTCGGACCCCATCTTGGAGGCCTCCAAGAACCCTCACAGGCAGATTGCTCAGGGAAACGACAATTCGCTGGAGATCTGGGTCTGCGACCAATTGCGAACCCTACCCTTGCTAGTCCAATCGACGAGGGGGTATCAGACACAATCGCTGGGGTTTACTTGGCTGCATACATCCTACGAATTCTGAACCCCAGCCGGCGTTTCAGAAATCTGAGCTGTTGGGGTAGGGTTAACATGCGGTTGGCTATTGTGGTCGTGGCCGGGTCGGAGTCTGGCATTCTTCGTGGCAAGAGAGCCCAGGTCAGCGTCCTCTCCGCGATCACTGACCCGACCGAGGCGCGCGCGCACGCCTGACTCCCCCTCCCCTGGATGTCGCTGCATGTCGCTCATTCGGGCGGAAAGCTCTTTCTCTCTCTCTCGCGCGCGCGGGCGCGGGCGAGGTACAGTCAACAGGGACCACCTTGGGTTTATGTGGGGTTCTGGTTTTCGGGCCGATCCCAGGATTCAGGTCGAGGACCCTACTCGTGACCGACGCTCGCCGCCGCCAGAAGAGCCCCTTCGCTCCTCATTCGGCTTTTTTCTTTATTCGGGGGGTGGTCGGTCGTCGGCCTTGAGTCGGCGATGCGTCGCCATTGCTTCGGCGTCATGCCCCCAGTGGCGAGGCCGCGCGATCCCGGGCAGTGCTGGGTGCCCATGCCCCGAGTGGCTACCGATGGTGGTAGATCTTTTGCTACCTCTGAGCCAGTGCCGCCTCCTGTCGCCCCCGCCAGGATCTTGCGGCCTTCGTCCCATCCAGCCACCGTGCCCTGCTCATTGAAAGGAGGCTTCTCATAGCCCCCTTGGGGTGATAGAACATAGACGTCTATAGGGGTCTCTTTCGGGCATCTGGGAGGCCTCTCGGGGGCCTCTCGCGGCATGTAGGAGGCGTTTTCAAAACCTATTAGGGCTCTCTAGGGGATGGCTGTTGGTGGGCTAGTGGCTTGCGTGGACCTCCTGGCAATCTCTGGAGGCCATTGTCGACCTGGAGGTGGTCTCAGAGCCATCTCCCTTCGAGCTTCCCCTTTTTGGACCCTGTAGGCTCTAGCATGCGAACGCACACGCAGCATCCCAGTTCGCTGCAATGTCTGCCACTCAGGCGGGCCTCCAAGTGCCTCCAGGACGGACCGGTCATCCCCCCCCCCCAGAGGGTTCTTGGGCGGACGGGCAGACGGGCGCAAGACCTTCCTGGGCCATGTTGGAAACGTGGGCACCGAGCCGCGTTGCCGAGGCCTCTTTGGAATACGCCGCGAAGGCGATCGCCAAGGGCACCCAGGGGCGCCCAGAAGCGCATGGGATCGCCTGGACCTCAAGGGCCTGAGCCCCTCACATCAGGTTCACAGTGCTTGATAGTGTCGGGCTCTGAGGTGCCCTGACTTGAGGTTCTCCGGCCCGCTTGGCTTGAGACATCATCGCAATTCACACCTCTTGCTTTAAGATGCGGCTCACGAGATGCTCTGGTTCCAAGATCTTACAACTCTGGGTTCCAAGATGTGGTTCGCGAGGTACTCAGGCCCGTTTCGCCTGAGACATCCTCCGAACCCCGGGCTACTGTGAGATGCCCTGAATTGAGGTGTTCTGGCCCGTTTCGCTTGAGACGTTCTCACGATTCTGGGTTCCAAGACGTGGTCCGCGAGGTTCTCAGGCCCGTTTCGCCTGAGGCATCCTCGGAGTCCCTGGCTCCGAGATGCCCTGACTAGAGGTGACCCGAGTGTAAGTGCACCACGCTTGACGATGACATTGACGGAGTGGTTGTTTGGGTTGCCCCTGGTGCCGGGGGGAATTGGGGACCAATAGAAAGTGACAGAACAAACGAGAAGTCGCCATATTGAAGTAGGGACTCGACTACATAATTGATCTACGAAACATTAATTTTTACTCTTCGCATCTTCGACGAACAATAAAATTCGGGGGGAATCAGTTCGGTAGTCGATCCCGTAATTTCTCGGAATATGGTTGAGCCTCGGGCTGCGCACAGACAGCCCCGTCCCGACTGGCCTTATCAGGTACCCCGAGTAGTCCAGGGGGGTCTCAACACCTGTTCTGTCTCCGCCGGCGCCCCTGGGGCGCCGCGCCCCAGGGCATTGTCTCGGCGATGGGACGGAAGGTGCCCCCCCACACCCCATCTCTGGGCGATGGTTTGGGCCTCGAGCGCCCTTCATTGGCCCCGTGTCGGGCCACTTGGGGCCACAGGGGCCTCCTTGGCAGCCCCGGGGGCGCCATGTGCCAGGGTCACCAGCGTCGACACCCGAAACTCCGCCGCCCCGAGGTCTTGGCATCCGGGTGTCGTATACAGTTGCACCGAAGAGAACCCCCAGTCAGGTGCGGGTGCGGACAATGGCAGCGTGCTGCTGGTGAGGAAGAACAAAACATAATAAATGCGCTCTCTCGTTTGATTCTCTAGTTGTACACACTCCCTCCACTCCACTCTGCATCTGTCCCTCTTTGATCTCTACCGTTGCCCCCGGCCGCCGCCGCCGCCGCCGTCGTCGTCGTCGTCGTCGCGGTCTTGGGTGGCGGCCCGCCCGCGCCCGCTCTCGCCTCTCGGCCGTCGCCGCCTCGGTCGCCGGTCGCCGCCGCCGCCATCTGCCCTCGCCTTCTCTGCGCTGTCAGCTGCCTGCCCCTCTGCTCGCGGCTCTCTGCTCTCGGGAGCACTGCTAGGCGGGAACAGGCTTCGGGGGGAAAGTATCGACCCCCAGTCGCCCATTGATATCCGATGGGGGCCTGATGGCCCCAATCCGCCCAGGACCGTACGGTGTCGCTATCGGGGGCCCATCGCCGAGCTATCGCCGATGCCAGCTCGACGTTTCCCCCTTTTGAGCCGGTCTTCCCCCCTCACGTTCCCGAGCAGTTCCAGACCCCGAAAGGAGGAGGACTGCTTTGGGCTCAGGAGGGGCTGCTGTTTTCTCAAGCAGTGGCGAAGCGTCCTGGCGTCCCTATAGGCCTACCAAACAATGTTTTAAGAACCTTCTGTGGCTTGTACAACATGTTCTTAGAACATTTCTGACTGACGCTGTCTTGTTTTAAACACATCGGGTTAATGTTTTCTCCCTGCTCAAGCTTTGGGCTCAGGAGGGACTCCAGTTTTCGGGCCGTTCCTCAGGCTTTGGTCGGAGAACAGGACCGTGGCCGATTCTTTCCCTGGCCACGAGAGCCCCTTCCTTGGCGCCTTCTTGTGGTGGAATGATGGCTGTACTTCGCAGGCAATGTCTCTTCCCCAGTCCGGGAGGTCGCCCCCGCCCACCCCCTCGAATAGTTGGCCGCTCAGAATCATTTTGCTTCCGGCATCCCCACCGAACCCTTCATCGTTTGCTCCCGACGGCGCGCGGTCGCCTCATTGGTCGACAATTGCCGCTTCTGGAATCAGAAAAGATTGAACCGTGTTCCGTGTGGTCACGTTCTTTCATGTTGTGCTCAGGAGAGCCCAGGAGGACCCAGGAGGCTCCAAGAGGCACCAGGGGGCCCAAGGAGGGCCCAGGAGAAGCTCCAGGAGGCTCCAGGAGAGCCCAGGAGGGCCCAAGAGGTCCAAGGAAGACCCAGGAGGGCCCAGGAGCCCTTACGAGGGATCGTGGCCCTGGGAGCGCTGACGTAGCGTAATTTACGAGGGATCGTGGCCCTGGGAGCGCGGGAGTAGTGTAATTCATAATTTGTTGAGGATGTCTCGAGCGAAACGCTGGTTTTGCAAACTTGGAGGATGTCTCGAGCGGTGGCCTTGTGGGGGGCCAGAATTCAAAGGATGTCTCAGGCGAAATGCTTGTTTTCACGTCCCGCTGGCAGGAATTCCGAGGATGTCTGGCGCGTGCAGCGTCCCGCGCGCAGGAATTCAGATGATTTTGACAGGATGTCTCGAGCGAAACGCTTGTCCCCAGCACGTTCCGTAGCGCGTCCCCTTGGCACGTCCCGCGGTGCGTCCCCATGGCACGTCCCTTGGCACGTCGCTTGGCGCGTCCCTTGAGACGTTCTGCGTCGCGTCCTCCTGGCATGTTCCCCTGTCCATTAGCTCTGGGGCAGCTACTATGTGTTCAGGCAGCTCGAGCTTAAGATCCAGATCAGTTCGGTCAGGACTCGGATGCAAAGGAGGACTCGATCCACGAGGCTATAGAGCACAATCGCGCCATGGCACATCGCAATTCAGCACGGCGCAGCACAGCACTGATTTCGGCACGGTACATCAAGGTCGATACACTCAGCATTGCAACTTGGCACGTTCCTTGGCACGTTCCGTGGGGCGTCCTTTGGCGAGTCCCCCTGGCACGTCGCGTGGCGCGTCCCCTGGCACATCCCGTGGCACATCCATTGGCACGTTCCGTAGCGCGTCCCCTTGGCACGTCCCGCGGTGCGACCCCATGGCACGTCCCCTGGCACGTCGCCTGGCGCGTCCCTTGAGACGTTCTGCGTCGCGTCCTCCTGGCATGTTCCCCTGTCCATTAGCTCTGGGGCAGCTACTATGTGTTCAGGCAGCTCGAGCTTAAGATCCAGATCAGTTCGGTCAGGACTCGGATGCAAAGGAGGACTCGATCCACGAGGCTATAGAGCACAGTCGCGCCATGGCACATCGCAATTCAGCACGGCGCAGCACAGCACAGCTTTCGGCAGGGTACGTCAAGATCGATACACTCAGCATTGCATTTGCCCGTCACCCAATCAAGTGTCTTTGAAATCGCTGCCATGTGTTACAGTTCCATATTCCTTTCCAGCTTCGTGGATCCATCATGTTTGTCATGGTATGCATTGTTATCACATTATGTGTCATGCTATGCTATATTCTGTCAAGGTGCGTATGTCATGGTATACTATGTCATGCTATATTATGTCAAGGTGCGTCTGTCATGCTATGATATGGTATACTCTGTCATGGTATGCAATGCCGTCTTCTGTTGTGTCATGGTATGCTATGGTATTTCCTGTTATGCTATGTTATGATATGCTCTATGTTGTCATGCCGTTGCTATGTTATGCTATGCCATGTTATGTCATGCATGATCGTGTTCTGTTCTGTCATGTTATGTTGTGTCATGCTGTGTTCTGTCGTGTTCGTCGTCGCTATGCTCTGCTGTCGTGTTCTGGTAAGGTCTGTGATGCTGTGCCATGATGTGCTCTGTTCTGTCAAGGTGTGTTATGGTATGCTCGGTTCTGTTCTGTCATGTTGTGTTCTGTCGTGTTCGTCGAGGGCGCGAGGCGGGATCATCGGGACAACTTGGGGTCTGGCGGCCGCGGTATGCAGGGTGCAGTGGGCCGGGCGCGGGGCGGGACACCCGAGACCCTCGGGATTCTCGAGGCAATTCTGGGTCTGGCGGCCGCGGTATGCACGGTGGGGATGGCCGGGGGGCCCTGGAGGAAGGAGTGGAGCTGGGGGGATCCACTCCCGCGCCGCGTGGGCTGTCTTCGGACGCCTCGGACGCCCCCCGTGTCGAGGACGGACGCCCACCCTGCGTATATACCCCAGGGTCTGGCCCCGAACGTCCTGCCCGGTCGGATACCCAACAGGGCCGGGGGCTGGGGTCGCCACGCCTCCTGGCACTGCTCTACCAGAGCGTCTGTTCGATTCGGCTCTGGCAGGTTCACTTCACGACGTTGCCCCCCCGCCCCCCCCTCCTCCCCTCCGCACCTTGATCGAACAGCGCTGGACTGAAAAGGCGTGCAAGAGAGCCTGACCTCGCCACGCCCCCCCCCATGGATGGAGAAAGGGAGGAAGGGAGGAGGAGTGAGGAGGAGGAGGAGGAGGAGGAGGAGGAGGAGGAGGAGGAGGAGGAGGAGGAGGACGAGGAGGACGAGGAGGACGAGGAGGACGAGGAGGAGGAGGAACCCCCTCCATGCAAGTAAACTTGCCATAATCGAAAGAGAGTAACGGGCACCTACTCTGACCGCGTGCGAGCGGGCGGGACGGCGCCCCGCTGTGAGTCCCCAGAGGTGTGCGCGTCGCGGGGGTGGGGGAAGCATGTCGGGCGTTAGTCCATCAGCGGCGAGCCCAGGGGGAAGTCGGAGGGTGCGGGCCTTCTCAGGAGGCTCGGAAGGCTTGCGGCCTCCTGAGAAGTTTTCTAAGCCTTCTCCGAAGACAGAGACGGCTTCTCAGAAGGCCGGAGGGCTTCCGAGAAGCCCCGCCGAGTTCTGAGACGGCCTGCCCCCTCCGCACTCTCCCCCCCCCCGAGCTCGCCGGCAAGTCAAGGGATGGGGAGCAGACGTGGGGTCAAGAGACGCGAACCCTCCCAGCACCTGTCGGGCCCGCGGTGGCAGGGCAAGGGCAGTGCAGTCTCAGGAAGGATTCAAATCCCCCCCCAAACAAAAACTCTTGCCCGGCGATCTACTCTGAGCGTATCGTTCTCATCCTCCCCTTTTCCTCTTCCTCCGCTCGCGCTCAGTAGACGTAGTACTGTTGGCAGTCGACAGAGGGCGTCCGAAATTATTTTCCCACTCAAGTTCGCCGTGTTGGATTTTGTTGGGTGGTTGTTTCTCGAGGCTGTAGCATCCCCTGAGATGCCCTGCACGCGATAGAAATCCCGTGTTCGTACAAGGTGTGTCGTACGTGTCCATACGTTTCCCCTCGAATGGTCTCGTAGCAGTCCCAGCATTGGGTCGTATGAGTATTCGTCTTCTGTAGGACGACAACGGCTACGGCGGCGACGACGACAGCGACGACAACAACGACGACGGTAACGGCTGCGACAACGACGACGGTGACGGCCGCGGCGCTATAGTTTATGGCCGATTCTTGTTGGACGTCGGCGGACCTTAACATGCCCCCGAAAATCTGTTTGCCCATTCTTGGGCGCGATGAAGAAAACCCCATGAGGTTAGGGCTTCTTTTTCAGGGGCATTTCCTTGCAATGCTTGATACTCCCCGTTCGCAAGCAACATCCATAGTAAGGGCGCGCTGCCTCATCGTGGCCACCCTTGCATCCCTTTTTCTTCGGCCCAACCTGAGCCACGGCTAACGTCAAAGGAGCTCTGAATGATACTTGGCACTTCCGAGGGTCTTGCATCCTCCCCTTGCACCCTTACTGAGGATTTTTACGGTATTCCCTTCCGGATGCGGGTGCGTCGCGGGGGCGCGGCCGCGTGCGGCCCACCTGGCGGCCGCGCAGGCGCGACGGCAGCTGTTAGAGGTCCGGGAGGACGGCGCGCGCGGCGAGCGTGCGGCCAGCGGCCGCCGATGGCCGCCCGCGGCGACGGCGGGCGCGCGCGGGCGGCGACCAGCGGCGGTGGCGGCGGCGACGACTGCGGCGACGGCGGCGACGGCGGTGAACGCAGCGTATGCACGACGACGGCGGTCCCGCGGCACCGTCGATGGCGGCGGCCCAGCGGCGGCGGCGTCGACCACGGCGGCGACGGCCCGCTGCGCTCCGCGGCGGGGCGGCCTTTTGTGGAGCCGCCCAGCCTGGGCCAGGAGCAGGAAGTCGATCGAAGTGGGGGCGGAAGGGAGGGGACGAAGATCAAGATTCAAGCAGTGGCGAAGCTTCCTAGCTCGCCTAGAGGCCTACCAAATAATGTTCTAAGAGCCTTTTGTGGTCTGCACGAAATGTTCGTGGAACATTTCTGGCTGGGACTGTCTTGTTTTGCTGATGTTCAAAGAACATTGTTCTCTGTTATCAGAGCATTTTTGAGATCTAAGAACATCTAGTGCAGGCCTACAGGAATGCCGGGACGGTCGGTCCCTGCTCAAGATCCAGATAGGTTCCTGCCCGTGCATTTTGGGCAGCAGTCGCTGTCGGTGCCGCCGCGGACGTTGTCCACTTGGGGCGAACGTCGCGTGCCCAGATGCGATCATTGTCAGCTTTGGACCATGTATGCCTGGGGCATTTTGCTTTATGCCTATCTGTCCAGGATATCAGGTGTTTTCAGAGGGTCGAAGAGGTCCGAGAAGTTTCTTCAAACGGTGCTCGCGTTAATGGGCATGCTATGTATGTTGCCCTACTGCTTGGATCCCTCCGCAACTCAATTGTATATGTACATCGGTATGTATGTTCTTGGTGCTCCCCTGATATTGATTCGAGGCTGCTGTTAGGCTGTGTTCCTTGTGCTTGCCATGTTCCTGCTACGTTCCATTATGGTTTCCAGGCTTAAACCTGGGTTCCATTCGCATGCTAGATAATTGTGTTGGCATGGTGCGAGCTTTTTATTCGTGTCGACGTATTTGATATTCGATGTGCGCTGTTGTTGGTTAATGTAATTGTTTTTCATGTGGCGGTGTATCTACGTGTAATCTCCCTCGGTTGCGGGAATCATTTGTGCATTTGCATGGTACGTCAGCTTTCTGTTGTTTTCTCTTTGTTTCTTGTGTTTGGTTTCGACGCGGGCGGTAGGTCGCGGTCGGCAGCTCTCCCAAGAATTTCGACTCCGTGATTTGCTGGCGACGTGTCTCCCCAGAGATCGTTGGCGGCGAGGTGAGGGGAGGCAGACCTTCTCAGAAAGTGTTGGGGCTTTCAGAAACACTCTGGCCTTGAGAAGCCCCCTGTGGCTTCGGAGAAGGCTGGAGGCCTTCCGAGCCTTCTGGCAAGGCCCGCCCCCTTTGCCATCCCGTGGGCGCGCCGCTGAGATTTGCGTTTGGAAGTCCATCCTGGAATTCCAGAGGGTCCAGGTTCTATTTGGGCCTCCTGGAATGTCGGGATCAACCTCCGTGCTCAGCGCAGGCTTCGCCCAGGCTTGGCTCGTGTGGCGTGCTGTGACGTTGTCGTGCGTCGGCAGAGCTGCCCGGGCCCGCTGGCCCGTCGGATGTGCCATCGTGCAGCGCCGAGCAGGAGTTGCTCGGCGGTGGGGGCAAGCGCACTCAGCAGCAGGGTGCGTGTCCCCTGGCACCGGCCTTCCACACGCACCCCGACCGAGCCGTCTGGGCCCCGTCGGCGAGGGCGGCGGCAGCTCCCGCGGGGCGCTGGCGGCGGCGGCCGCCGCCATGCGGCCCCCGCGGCGCCCGCCGCGGCGGGGCCTCCCCGCCCGGGCCGCGGCGAGCGCCGCGGCAGGCCTCGCGCTGGCGGCGGCGGCCGCCTGGCGCGGCGGCGGCGGCGCCGGCTTCGCCGGGCCGCGGGGCTGCCGGGCGGGGCCGCGGGCCCGCAGGAGGTGATGAAACCCACTCACTCGCAGAGGGGACTAGGGCAAGCCAGGTGCACTCGCGCCTCGTCTGGCGTCCCATGCCTCCCTTCCATCCCTGCCCACGGCGCCGATGTTTCTCCATCCGCGAAGCCGACGAATGCGCAATCGGAACAAGGGGAGCTGCGTGCACATGAGGAGGAGGAGGAGGAGGAGGAGGAGGAGGCGGGTGAGGAAGATGAGCGGGAGGAAAGGGATGAGGACGTACAGCAGCAGCAGCAGCAGCAGCAGCAGCAGCAGCAGCAGCAGCAGGGACTAAGCTGAAGGATGGGGAGCATGTTCCCGGAAAGGGCTTGGGCCCAGGGTTCTCTTTCAGTAGCTTTACCCTCCGGTTGCGACTTGAAGGGGGCCGGCGGAATTATTTGCGATAAATACAAGGTCGAAGAGGGCTGGCGGAATTAGTTTTGAGGATGTCTCGAGCGAAAGGCTTGTTTTTCAGAATTTGTTGAGGATGTCTCAAGTGAAACGCTGGTTATGCAAAATTGGGGATGTCTCAGAACACTCTCGAGCGAAACGCAGGTTTTGAAGAGCCGACCGCGACGCGGAAAAGCGCCCCACGCGCAGGAATTCCAAGGATGTCTCGCGCGTGCCGCGTCCCGCGCGCAGGAATTTCGAGGATGTCTCGACTAATTCGTTTGTGTTGCCAGAATTTCTTTGAATTTTGGCAGGCTGTCTCGAGCGAATTGCTTGTTTTTCATAATTTGTTCCCTACCTAGGCTCTGCCTAGAAGGGTTCTTACTCTCTTGGCTTAAAGGGGCCGGGCAGTGGAAATCGTCCCGGGCGGTTCCCCCAGTCCCCTGGGAGCCAAGCAAAAGCAACAGCAAAGGTAAAAGCAAACGCGCGGTTCCCCCAGTTGCGCTCCCGGGGTGCCAAGCAAAAGCAAAAGCAAAGGCAAAAGTGAAGGCAAAAGCGAAGGCAAAGCAAAAGCATAGCATAGCATAACATAGCATAGCATTGCATAGCGCAGCATAGCATAGCGCAGCATAGTATAGCATAGCCTAGCCTAGCCTAGCCTAGCCCAGCATAGCAATGCGCAGCATAGCATAGCATAGCATAGCATAGCCGAGCAGAGCATAGCATAGCATAGCGCAGCACAGCATCCACTATCGCTGCTGCTATAGTACAGCATCCATAGCATAGCACAGCATCCACATAGCATAGCATAGCGCAGCACAGCATCCACTAATGTTGCTTTCCTAGAGGCTCCAACTCCTAGGTAGGGTCGCACTGGGGTAATTGAGGATGTCTCTAGCGAAACGCTGGTTTTGCAAAATTGGGGGGTGTCTCGAGCGGGGGGCCTCGTGGGCGGCCAGAATTCAGACGATGTCTCAGGCGAAATGCTTGTTTTCACGTCCGGCCACGTCCGGCTCGCAGGAATTCCGAGGATGTCTCGCGCGTGCCGCGTCCCGCGCGCAGAGATTTTGAGGATATCTTGACTAATTCATTTGTTTTGCGTGGATTTCTGGGGATTTTGACAGGATGTCTCGAGCGAAACGCTTATTTTTCATAATTTGTTGAGGATGTCTCGAGCGAAACGCTGGTTTTTCAAACTTGGGGGGTGTCTCGAGCAGGGGCCCCGTGGGGGGCCACAATTCACGTTCCGCTCTCAGGCAAAATGATAGTTTTCACGTTCCGCTCGCAGGAATTCCGAGGATGTCTCGCGCGTGCCGCGTCCCGCGCGCAGGAATTTCGAGGATGTCTCGACTAATTCGTCTGTGTTGCCAGAATTTCCTTGAATGTTGGCAGGATGTCTCGAGCGAAATGTTTGTTCCCAACCATCCTGTGGTGTTGGGTCCTCGTTTTGAAGAGACGGTGCCCGCGTCCTCTCCTCTCCTCCTCCTCCTCTTCCCCCTCCTCCCCCTCCTTGCCTCTGCTCTCGGCGCACCTCTCACGCGTTTCGTAGCCCCATAGGGAGCTCCACCGAAGGCCCCAGTGGGGGTGTTCGCATGCGGTTCCCCCACCCAGGGCAGCGTTTCGTGGCCCCATAGGGAGCTCCACCGAAGGCCCCAGTGGGGGTGTTCGCATGCGGTTCCCCCACCCAGGGCAGCGTTTCGTGGCCCCATAGGGAGCTCCACCGAAGGCCCCAGTGGGGGTGTTCGCATGCGGTTCCCCCACCCAGGGCAGCGTTTCGTAGCCCCATAGGGAGCTCCACCGAAGGCCCCAGTGGGGGTGTTCGCATGCGGTTCCCCCACCCAGGGCAGCGTTTCGTGGCCCCATAGGGAGCTCCACCGAAGGCCCCAGTGGGGGTGTTCGCATGCGGTTCCCCCACCCAGGGCAGCGTTTCGTGGCCCCATAGGGAGCTCCACCGAAGGCCCCAGTGGGGGTGTTCGCATGCGGTTCCCCCACCCAGGGCAGCGTTTCGTGGCCCCATAGGGAGCTCCACCGAAGGCCCCAGTGGGGGTGTTCGCATGCGGTTCCCCCACCCAGGGCAGCGTTTCGTAGCCCCATAGGGAGCTCCACCGAAGGCCCCAGTGGGGGTGTTCGCATGCGGTTCCCCCACCCAGGGCAGCGTTTCGTGGCCCCATAGGGAGCTCCACCGAAGGCCCCAGTGGGGGTGTTCGCATGCGGTTCCCCCACCCAGGGCAGCGTTTCGTAGCCCCATAGGGAGCTCCACCGAAGGCCCCAGTGGGGGTGTTCGCATGCGGTTCCCCCACCCAGGGCAGCGTTTCGTGGCCCCATAGGGAGCTCCACCGAAGGCCCCAGTGGGGGTGTTCGCATGCGGTTCCCCCACCCAGGGCAGCGTTTCGTAGCCCCATAGGGAGCTCCACCGAAGGCCCCAGTGGGGGTGTTCGCATGCGGTTCCCCCACCCAGGGCAGCGTTTCGTGGCCCCATAGGGAGCTCCACCGAAGGCCCCAGTGGGGGTGTTCGCATGCGGTTCCCCCACCCAGGGCAGCGTTTCGTAGCCCCATAGGGAGCTCCACCGAAGGCCCCAGTGGGGGTGTTCGCATGCGGTTCCCCCACCCAGGGCAGCGTTTCGTGGCCCCATAGGGAGCTCCACCGAAGGCCCCAGTGGGGGTGTTCGCATGCGGT